GAGATCGAGACTCGTTCTTGGAAATCGAGACACGTTTTGAAAATCGAGACTCGTTTTGAAAATCGAGACTCGAAGACCAGTATCCTTGAGAGATCCCTTGATAATAGTACTTATGCTCTCTTTTCAATTGAATTTTATCATTTGAATACTCCAAAAAGTCGGTGTCACTCCAACTTTCCATAACAGTGGATTCACGTATACTATAAGGACACTTGATCTCAAGCACAGCTTGTCCACAACATGAACATGACATAAACCCATCTGGGCTTGCACCAATGTATGGTTTATCTTTAACAACATATAAGCCAGTTTTTGACAGTTTGCAATTTGTGTGGTTTGCAAGACCAACAGCATGAAGTTCTCGCATTGCTGTATCTTCATTGTCCTTGCCCCATCTAATAGGAGGAACATGGTCCAGATTCTCTGAACCATGAACAAGATTGGACAATAAAGGAGTTGTTTTGGGCTTCAAATCTCCTCTATTTCTTGTAAGTGCATCTACTTTAGTGCATACATCTTTCATGTTGGAAGCAGTTATCCTCCYCTTTCTGTGTTCTTTCCACAGGTAAGAGGATGACTGTCCTTTTGTTTCTCTTTCAATTTGAGAAACATCCTCATCAGTCAATGATAAGCTCTCCATAAAGCCTGACATCTTGTCTTGGTCACTTATTTCTACTTGAATGCCATTACAATAATCCTTGACAAGATTGGACATGCACAAATTCCTCTTTGGTTGACTGTGGCGATCTGATTCCACACTTTTAAAAATCTGCGCATTTGGGGCTACATTTTTAAGGCCATCTACAAATCCTTTCTTCTTCTCTTCACTGATGTCTCGTTGGCCTTCCTTCCTTGGATCAAAATTCTTCCATGCTCTGCTTATGATTCCTTCAGAATCTCCAGACTGGGGTTTTGAAGCCTTGTCTCTTCTCAAGTTCAAGTCCATGATTTTACAAGGCTCAACATCTTTGCGAGTTGACTGATTCCAACTGCATGGAACTGAGGTACATGCAGGATTGTTGTAGCCACACTGAACTGCATGGTTRACTTTGTATAGCAAAGCAATCATGTGGTTACATGTTGCACTTGTGCCTGCTATACAAGTACACCAGCCACACACAATAGCTCCATCACTTTTTACCGCAACCCAAGCTTCATGAGGATCTTGTCTTATCCTCTGAGATGGAGTGACTTTGCTCTTGAGGACACATATATCATCATTATTCTTCGAATAATACACAGTGTCAACAAAGTTGCTTTTCCAGTATGAGAAGGCCTTTTCATCTTTGTATTTTCCTATGTATGTGGCATCGAACTCTTTGTGTAATAGAATAAAAGAAAAGATTTTACCAAGGTCAACTGATGGCCATTTGGTCATGTCATCTAGCCATTGGATGTCACTGGCGCTGGGATCCTTGATGGTGTATTTTGTTAGTCGACTCTGGTATTCGCTCTTTATGCTTTCAAACTGCTGCTCGGCGGATAGCTTGATCGGTAGTTTAAACTCATAGGCTGAAAAAACTCTAGCAATCAACTCTATCTTTTTACCAGTGACCGAAACACCTCTGATGTTTAGGTAATCCTTTAGCGATCCTAAAGGTAAATCTAAGAAGTCTTCATATGTGTAGTTCGTTTCCATCTAAAAAATATACAAATTTAAAATGTCAAATCACCAAAAAATATGGTTGCATCTTATAAATAACAATAAGATAGGAAGATATTAGAAATTAGCGGCTTTTTAGTCCGTATAAGTATCAGTTATGATACGCCTTACACGAAGCCATCAAAAGAACACTCCTGGCATACGACCACGCAGTCGAAGCCCTGACAAACATTGGCTAATATTAAGCTAAATAACGCCTTCTGAAGCTAGATATTCACGCTACAATTATGTTATAGTCTTACCTTTCAGATCCTGGAAGGGTTTTTCTATACATAAAGTTTGAAACTGTAAAAAAGAGAATTTTTGAAGAGGTGTCACGTCACGCTCGAGAAATTTACAAGAAATGTATGGAGCTTAGTAGCCTGGCCTTGTTATTCCTTGCCTACTCGTCAAAATGGCGGGGAAAACCGTCACTCCAACTATTCCACCACGATACAACTTATAATGGTAACTTAGTTTAGCGAGTTCACTTCGCTTTCTCACAAAAGCAAACAAACAAAAAACAAACGAAAAACCAGGAAATTTGAAAATTTGGATAAGTTTTAAACTGAAAAAACATCGAACCTAGTATAAAATATAGGCTTTTTTCTTCGCAAACTGAAACTTGACAAGATGAGCGAGATAATTCATGAGATAATGTATTTTACGCGACAACAAACCGGAAATGGACAGATTAACATACGATACACACCTGGCATGCACTCCTATATGACATAAAAAGACGGTTTTTTTACCTTCAAAATTAATAAATTGTCTAGGAAGTATTTAACTTCATTGTACTGTTTTTACAGTAAACCATTGTGTTGCGTTTACGTATATACTGACTGCGTTTTCGGGAGGTCGCAGGTTCTGATACCCGCCGACTGGGCCTTTCTAGATCTGTAAATGGTTAGACCTCGTGGCTCGGACGACAACGTAATGGCGTACCTAAACTGTGGACTTAAAGCCCTGGCCGTGACCACCCTCGATTGCCTATATCTCGTACTAGCTACCTCAATCATCTCATTGTAAAGCGCCTTTGAACGTATATGGAAAAGTGCGCTAAAATTAATATAAATCCATTATCACTGATCATTATCCTCATCATGTAGGTTTCCTGAGCTCAATCTAACTTTATTCGGGAAACGCGCAGCATACGCAACGCTCTGATCTTGGAATGCCATGAAAACAAGCTTTTCCTGTATTGACAATATGGGTATAACTAGTTTGCGATCGGTGCTTTGAACTACTAACATCTGCAGGGCTGTGGCATTGTTTGTGGGATCTTGAACAAATTCAAAACTGTTCACCTTCTCAAGTATGCGGATCATTGCAAGATTCAGTCTTGGACATATACACTGCTCCAAACATGAAAGCATATGGGTACAGGGAAATTGATATTGAAAGAAAAATTCAATTTGCCCGATTTTGAGGGATCCAGGAACGGAGTCTTGAAAAAGTATCGTGTAACTGTTTCTTGAAGTGACTCTTTTGTATGAAACTGAATGATAAATGGATTCACGCAATTTAGTTCTCTTGAAATATCGGTGCCGAAAWTGGAGCAAAGCCCAAGTTTGCACCTAAGTCATTTATTTGTTTATGGTTTAGATTCATGTTCAATGGACTACCGAAGGCGAATATGTCTTTCTCGATCATGATTTCTTTTGCAACATGTGACGATATTGTCAAAGACTTATAGAATTCGTTTTCCTTAGATTGTGGTGTAAGCTGCGAAGCAAGAGCAGGCAAATACTGATTTATTGCAACAGCGGACACTATCTGGAGGTCAACATTTTGTGTTCCATGAAAATAATKAAGTGAGATGCCATTATATTTTTTGAATGGAAATCATCTTAAATCATCGGCTAAGTGCAAGAGAGAATGAACGTTGATAGTTTCTTTACTTTGGGAATAATGTGGGAAAACAGGAGTCAAAAATGTTTGAGTAATTTGTTGGCACTGCGAGTCCCATACTTGATTTTTTAT